TAGCTGTGGTGGGACAAGTCATGGCCATGATGGGACACGTTGCCTTGATGGGACGTGTCGTGGCCGTGATGGGACATGTCATAGCTGTGGTGGGACAAGTCATGGTCATGAAAAAACAAGTAGCTGTGATGGGACAAGTCATGGCCATGATGGGACACGTTGCCTTGATGCGACATGTTGTGGCCGCGATGGGACATGTTGTGGCTGTGGTGGGACAAGTCATGGCCATGATGGGACACGTTGCCTTGATGGGACGTGTCGTGGCCGTGATGGGACATGTCATAGCTGTGGTGGGACAAGTCATGGCCATGATGGGACACGTTGCCTTGATGCGACATGTTGTGGCCGCGATGGGACATGTTGTGGCTGGGGTGGGGGAAGACAATGGCCCATTGGGGGACGGGGACACGTCATAGCTGTGGTGGGACATGTCATGGCCATGATGGGACACATTGCTGTGACGGGACACGTCATAGCTGTGGTGGGACATGTCATGGCCATGATGGGACACATTGCTGTGATGGGAGATGTCATAGCTGTGATGGGACAAGTCATGGCCATGAAAAAACAAGTTGTAGCTGTGATGGGACACGTCATGGCCGTGATGGGACACATCATGGCCGTGATGGGACACGTCATGGCCGTGATGGGACACATTGCCGTGATGGGACATGTCATGGCCATGATGGGACACATTGCTGGGATGGGACACGTCATAGCTGTGGTGGGACATGTCATGGCCATGATGGGACACATTGCTGTGATGGGACACGTCATAGCTGTGGTGGGACATGTCATGGCCATGATGGGACACATTGCTGTGACGGGACACGTCATAGCTGTGGTGGGACATGTCATGGCCCCGGTGGGACACGTCACTGTCCCAAGAGACCTTGCCACAGCCTTGTCCCCATGTCCCCACAGAGCATTGCTTCAAGCGGCACGAGGAGGACGTCCCGGTCGATGTCCAGGAACGCATCCAGAAAGCCTGCGAGCCCGACGTGGACTACGGTGGGACACGGGGACACTGGGGACATCGGGTCATGGGGGCACCGCAGGAGACACAGGGCCATGGAGGGGCAGTTGGGGCACTCAGGGGACACAAGGGATGTGGGTGGAGACAGGAGGGGACAGACAGGGACATGGATGGGACAGGGACAAGGTGGGATGGGAATGGAGATTCGGGAGGACAGGGATGGGACAGGGACAAGGTGGGTCCAGGCCAGACAGGGGTGCAGAGGGACATGGGGAGGACATAGAGGTCCCCCAAGGGTCACCCTGGTGACAGGGGATGTCCAGGGGTGGGGTTGACCCTCTGGTGTCCCTCCCCAGTGTACAAGGTGAGGCCAGTGGCACTGGAGGACACACCATCCCACATCAACTACATCATGAGCATCATCTCCGTCATCAAGATGGGTATGAGCACCCAGGGGGGACGAGGCCACCCCAGGGGGGACGAGGGCACCCCAAAGACATGGTGGGGTCACCTGGGGCTGGGGACATCCAGGGGCAGGGACGTCCAGGTGGGTCGAGGTCCCCCAGGTGGGTCGGCGTCACCCAAGAGTGTTGGAGACACCCACTTGGAGAAGGACACCCAGGTGGGTTGATGTCACCCACGGGTGCTGGGGACACCCAGGGGGAACTGGTGCCACCATGGGGGTTGTGTCCCCACCACTGCCAGGTTGTCTTTGGGGGGAGGTGACACGTCACCCACGTCCTCCCTGTGCCAGGCACCGACGAGAACCCGGCAGGGAGCAACAGAACCTTCGCCACCCACCAGAAGTGCCGAGACACTCTAGGCCTCAAGATGGGCCAGGACTACCTGATCTGGGGCTCAGCCAGCGACCTCTGGGCCACCAAGAACCGGTAGGGACACGGGAACGTGGGACACCGGGGACGGGGGCGGAGGGGACTCGGTGACTCTCCGTTGTCTCGTGGAAGGTTGTGCATCCCCTCGTCCACCCACCCCTGTGTGTGTGCTCCCAGGGTGCCACCCCAGCGTGACCTCATTGTCCCCTGTGTCCCCTTTTGTCCCCAGTTTCTCCTACCTCATCGGCAAGGACACGTGGCTGGAGCCGTGGCCATCGGACGACGAGTGCCAGGACGCAGGTGTCCAGGAGCTCTGCCTGGACTTCGTCCGTTTCTCCCGGTCCATGACCCTCTTCGGGTGCCCAAACTGATCCCCCACCCGTGGGTGTCCCCTCTCCCCACCCATGGGTGCCCCGACCCTCCTGGCAACTCTTCTCCCTCTTTTTTTTTGGTTAAAAAAGGTCCTTTCTGGCACTTTGGCTCTGGGTCTCCATGGGGAACAAGGGAGGGGACATTGGGGTGGTGAGAGCTTTGGGGTTGTCATGGGGACACCAGAGGGGGGAGAAGCTTGTGAGGACAAGGAGATGTTGTAGGGGACAAAGGTGGTGGGGACACCAAAGGGGCTGAGCAGGTCATGTACACCCTCAGTGCTCAGATCTCATGGAGCTGATGGTTCTGCACACCCTC